TTCCAAGAAAAAAATAATTGTTTCATCCCTTAATAAAATGCAATTTGTATATACATTCAAGGTCATTAGATTCTTTTGTATAATTTGTACAGTTCTTTGAAGACGTGTATATATATTCAAGTTGTCACTTTAGAATTTGATAAATTTGAAAATATAATGTAATCTGTACGATTTTTAAGGATATACATTTTTTTGTTTGTAATTTGAATAGAAAATTTGGTTAGTCTGAGAAATTATATTTCATAGTTTATATAGTTTATATAGTTAATCTTAGTATAAATTATATATACTAGTATTTTATTAATAAAATTATAACTATATCTGTGTTGTTATAATATATTACCATTAATTTAATAGTTACTAAATATATTATAATATTTTATTAGCAATACTACTCTTATAATAATTTATATAATAGCATAATAAAAATTATTTAATATATTATAATTATTTAATATATATTAACTATAATATTAGTGTAAAAGTAATATTAATTATTAGTATTACAATAATATTTATATTATACTATTAATATATATTGTAATAATATAAATAGTATATATATAGAAGGATAATGCCCATAACATTAGCATAATAGGACGGAATACATTCAAATTGTTCCATAACACAACATCAATGCTTATACCACGGAACAACACATTGATTTAAAATATAACTCATTTTAAACCGCTGAATAACACATTGATTTTTAAAATAATGCAGTTTAAATCACTCTATAACACGTTGCATTTTAAAACAACCCATTTTAAATCACAACATAACACGCGGGGGGGGGGGGGAATATTTCTTTAAACCGCGGTATAACATGGGGGTATATTCCCATAACAACATGTTATAACGCATTGGAAGATTCTCATAATGTAGTGATATAACACGTGTGAAATATTCCCCTAACGACGTGATATAATACGAGGAAGATTCCCATAACATATCGATAAAACACCTGGGGAATATTCGACTAACAACGTGTTATAATACAAAGAATATTTTCATAACGCAGATATATAACACATGGGGAATATCACCATGTTTTCGCAGTATAATAAGGGGAATATTCTCATTATGTGTTATTCATGTGTTATTATTGTGTTATTGTGATGTATTGAGGTGATATTGAGGTGCATTGAGGTGTTATAAAGGTTTGTTTATTGTCTTCTTTATGTGTTACTCAAATAGATGTGGTATTGAGTAATGATGTGTTATTGTTGTGTTATTGTGATGTATTGAGGTGGTATTGAGGTGACTTGAGGTGTTATAGAGATGGTATTATTATCTTATTCATGTGTTACTCAAATAAATGTGGTATTGATTTAGTGAGGTGTTATTATTGTGTTATTATGATATATTGAGGTGGTATTGAGGTGTTATAGATGTTTTATTATTGTCTTATTCATGTGTTACTCAAATATATGTGGTATTGATGTTAATGAGGTGTTATTGTTGTGTTACTGCGGTATATTGAGGTGGTATTGATGTGAATTGAGAGGTGTTATAGAGGTTTTATTTATAGAGGTTTTATTATTGTCTTATTCATGTGTTACTCAATCATTGAATACATTCATCAATCAATCATTGAATCAAATGAATCAGCCAATTATTTAATAAAATGATTATATTAATCAACCATAAAGTTAATGAATCATATGAACATGTCAGGACTGTTAATAAACCACATTAACTTATTAATATTACAAATATAGCTCACTTATTAAATCCATCAACTGTCCGTGATATCCTTCTGTTGGTTGAGCTGCATCATATTACTTCCATAATGCATAAATCAAAAGTGAAATTGTTTGGGAAAAGATTTTGATTAAAAAACACAAGCTAATACTACTTAATTTTTTATTATATGCTAGTGAATTTTAGTTGTATACCTGGGTGATACAATCTGACAATTCAACTAAATTTACCTCGCAAGGAATGTCGGGTTCTCGGCTTGTTGATGCTTCTTTATCTTTTCCTACATGCAATGCTCTAGATTAAAGAAAGACAATAATGCATAAATTAAAACAACTTGGCTTGTTGAAATATATACTTTTTTGTCTCCTATTTTCCTCCCAATGCTCTTTCAACCTAGATGTAGAACTCTTTTCGACCTCATCTTTGCTAGGTCATTCAAATCAAATTGGGTACTTAGCGTTTTTCTCTTCTTTATTTTTTCCTTTGCTAGAGTTTGTTTTCCAGTTAATGCGTCGTAAGATCTTCAAAGAGATGTTTAAATGTTTCTCAAAGCAGCTGCTCGGTTGTTTCATTTCCTTGTGTTTTATTAATGAGTTGATATGCTTTATTAATGAGTTGGTATGCAAACTTGTGAGCGTGTAAGTGAAATAGTAGACCACTTGCAGAACCAATGCTCATTTGGGATTCTTTCAAATGTTCGTAATCAAAGCTATTAAACATGTCCATTTTAGCGTGAACAAACCATCACATTAAGAAATATTTGTCGGAAATCATCTTTATTTCAACTACATTAAGCACATACAGAGAGTGAAAACACAATAACACCATCATTTCAAACTCTGCAAGTGATCTCAAAATTTACTTTATCAAGTTTCCCAATCCAATACTTGTTTGTGTCTTGATTATCTAAATTCCTTACATAATATTCTGAGTCACTCTCTGCAAAAAATTCAATTGTAAGTCCACATAGCCCATCCAATAGTTCTTGCTGGAACATTGAGTAAAGCTTTCTTGAATATAATGCGACAACTTGCCTCAAGACTGGGTTGGCTTTTATCACGGGTGTAATGACAGATTGTTCACTTTTGAAATATTTGTCCTTCTCATTCTAACGCCATGTTTTCATTATATTTTTAAGACCAACAAAACAATCAATGAGAGAGCTAGTAGGCTTGGAAATACCGTGACTTCTATTATTTATATACTCACTTCTTTGTGTTGATAATATTCTCATACCAAATATTTTTTTATTGAAAGTTGTTGGTCATTTATGTCTGATATTGTACATTTCATTTAACCACACGTTGCTGTGTAGGTTTCCCTTCTTAATTATTGTGACCCAACTATCTTCAAAATCCTCTTCAGAGTCACACTTGCTCATGCATTTGTAAAAGAGATCACCCACACTCTTAACACCCATACCACAATACACGTTTGAAGGAAATTTCTTGTATATATCCCATTGACACAATCTGTGTCATGTCTGTGGAAGACAATCTTTAATGACTTTTGCTATCACTTGATCCTGATCGGTGAAAATTGTCATTGGATGCTTGTCACCTATTATTCAGATAAATGTTTTTGAATAACCAAATGAAGGAATCAATGGTTTCATCAGACATAAAGCCCACTCCAAAGAGAATGTTTTGCTAGTGGTAGTTCACCCCCATAAAAGGAGCACAACATAAATTATACTTATTTAATCTATAACTTGTATAAAAAATTATTACATCCCCACAACAATCATAATCAAGCCTGGATAACCCGTCGGTCCAAAAAAACTTTTGAGTTTACCTCACTCATTGGTTTCAAAATCTCAGTCAAACATGATATCCCAGCTTGCCTCTTCATGAATTACTGTATTAGAGAATTTACATATCATTGTTCTACTCCTTCCCTTCTTTCTCTTTTGAAAAAAAAAAATTGAATGCATCTCGCTTCGTGCTTTCTAAGTTCTCCGCCCCAACCTTTGTAGCTATAAAGTTATATGCATGTGTTGCTCTGATCCTTGATTCTGTAATTGATATCAGTGCATTTGTATTTACCTCACTTATTTTTCTACTGTAACGCAAAAGATGCTTGTCACTGCTTTCAGTTAGAGGGCGGTTATTATTTTCAATGATTTTCTTCACTGTTCAATTTCCTTCCACATCAACGACATATCTAACCATGACTTGACACCCAATCATGGTGTATGCTTTTTTGAACTCCACATTATTGAAGTTTAACTCCTTATAGCCAACTTTTCCATAAATAAAATCTTCGATTTTAATCTTCTTAGAGTTTTGCTAATAGTTGCTATGGTCTTTCTTAACAATAAATCCAACGTGATGTGCATAGACACAGTAGTTTTCGTATGCTTCTTGATCAATGTGGATAAAAATGCGAAGAAACATCTCTGCGATTGGATCATTGGATATATTTCTAGACTGCATATTAGCGCACCAATTTAACGATAGTCAGATATAAAACAAACACCACAATAACACCACGAAAAACTACACCAACAACAAAATAATACATTGGTCACATCACACTAAAACCACCATAACACCACCATAAAGATACTAATAGCATCGCAATTGCAACACGCTCATACCAACATAGCAATAACACCACAATAACAGAACAATAACATCATAATAACGCCACAATAATTCAACAATAACACGATAATAATATAACAATAATTCAACAATAACACCACTAAAACAATACAATCCCTAAACCCTAAACCATAACACTACAATAACATCCTAATAACAACAACAACATAGAAAAATATAACTAGAATAACACCATAAAAACCAACCCTAACATTATACTAATCCCAAACACAAAACCAAAATGACAAACCTATACACCACCATAACACCACACTAACTATAAACTAAAAAACCTCCCAAAAATCAAGTGAAACCATGATAACACAACAATACAAAACTCAAATCAAAACAAAACAAAACTAAACTCACATCCAATTGAAAGTGGTTGACATTATTTTCTGATTTTATCACCAATATTTCTTCGTCGCCAGGAAATCCATCGCATCTACTCTGAACCAGGTGCAAAGACAACCTAAAAAAGACAAAATGTCCTTTTTGAGAATTGGCAGGAGCATAAAAATATAAAAAATCACTTTTGGCAGGATTATTTTTGGACAAAAAGTTATTTTTTTTGATTTTTGAGACTGGATTAGTGCCGGATCATGCAAAATAAATATATTTTTTTAATTTTTTGGGGAGTGGATGACGTAATAATCTCTCCCTCGACTGGCTTCCTTCTCATGTAGCTCTTCGTCCGGTCCGGAGTCCGGTGGTAATATTTTTTTCGTCGTAACCTGACCACCCGCTCGCCTCAGCAGCCCTCCTCTCTGGACGACGGCCTGACGCCCAATTCATCTGCCATAACGCTCGGGTCGGTTAGGAGAAAATGAGGTTTCCAAGCTTACTGAGAGCTTCCAATTTTCTCCGCAGACTTCAGGGATTGGACTCCTGCTCCACTTCGACTTCGTCGTCTCCTATTCTATTGAAGTTGCCATTGCAATCGATAAAATCGAGCTTCTCTGCCGCTCCAACTCGTCAATACTCTACCGGTATGCAATTTCCTTATATGTTATCCCTTTGAAAACCTAAGCAAAGAAATTTCTTCTTTAATGGATGAATGTTTGGTACTAAAGATTTTCTTGAAATGCACTTGAATATCTGGATTCTTTTTATTTTGTTAACTTATGCAGAAGGAAACTGGGCCAAAAATTCACCTCATCAATTTTATCCAGTTTTGAATTCGATGTCACTATTTTTTTTCTTCTCTCAAAGGGTAAACAAGTTTGTCTTGTTGATTCTTCTTATTTTTTGAATTCAGTGCTTGATATGTTGATTAGGGTTGCAAGTGAGCAAGTCAGCTTTTGGCCGAATTTTTCCCTCAAGTCCCCGTAGGGTGCGCTACGTCCGCTATCCAAGCAAAACACGCCATCTGGTCTTGTCTGGTCTTGTACGCCATCTGGTCTTGCGGGACCCATATTTACACGTCATGATAAAGGAAAAAATACGCGTTAAGCCCGGACCAACCCGACGTGCTAAATGTTACGTATAATCCCGCCTTTTTGACATATTCCCGTCTATTTTTGGCGTATTATTCCCTCAGAAACTTCTATTATGTATTATTCAGTAGAAAAGAAGTTTTCAAAAAGGATTTTTTTGTCTCAGCTAGGGTTTGGTCGCTGCATTTATGATGAAGTTAGATTTCTCTCTTAATGAAGAGTTTGAGCACATGAATGACGAAATGAATGTCAACGTCTTTGAAACGGAGGTAAGATTTCTTGCTTACTTTAACTGTTTTTCATTTTTTCGAGAGTAACCCAACAATAACCTAGGAATAACCTGCGCATAAACTCACCAGATCTCTAAAAAAAGTGAGATTTTGTGTGAATCTTCGATTGTCGTTAGGTTATTTCATCATTATTCTGTGTTTAGGGTTATTTATTTTCGGGTTGATTGAAAAAATACTCAACAACCCGAGAATAACCCAACAATAACCTAAGAATAACCTGCCCAAAAAACCCATCAGATCTCTAAAAAAGGTGAGATTTTGTGTGAATCTTTGATTGTTATTAGGTGATTTCATCATTATTTAGTGTTTAGGGTTATTTATTATCGGGTTAATTGAAGAAATACTCAATAACTCGAGAATAACTCACTAATAACCTAAGAATAACCTGTGCATAAACCCACCAGATCTCTAAGAAAAGTGATATTTTGTGTGAATCTTCAATTGTTGATAGGTTATTTCATCATTATTTAGTGTTTAGGGTTATTTATTATCGGGTTGATTGAAGAAATACTCAATAACCCGATAATAACCCAACAATAACCTAAGAATAACCCGAGAAAGTAACCCACCAGATCTCTAGAAAAAGTGAAATTTTCTATGAATCTTCGATTGTCGTTAGATTATTCCATCATTACTCTTTGGTTAGGGTTATTTATCTGACTATCTCTATTGTATACTTTAAATTTGTAGATATCTAGGGCAGAAACAGATTGCAATGATCCAATTGCTCGTAGCTTTCTTAATACTTTTGTCCGTGATGAGGAAGAGGCTTACAAACATTATTGTGCTTATGCACATTATGTTGGTTTCACTGTACGCAAGGACCACACAACTTACTGGGCTAAATCTAAGCAAATTAAATCGAAAGATTATATTTGTGGAAAATCAGGTCATAAAAGAGAATCTCAGCTAGCCACTACTGTGAAATATAGAAAAACAGATACACGTACTGACTGTCAAGCAATGGTTTGCTATGCTATTGATGTTGATGACAACTGGATCATAAAGAAATTTGTTGAAAGTCATAACCAACCCTTGGCGGAATCCGGTGACAAGCACCTTCTACGTTCCAGTCGGAAGATTAGCGAGTTAAATACAAATTTACTAAGATCAATGACAGATTCTGGGATTAGAGCAGCTGATGCATTCAATTTTCTTGCTACAGAGGTTAGTGGTGTTGAAAACTTGGAGTGCACCAGACAAGATGCATACAACTTCATTTAAAGGGATAAAAGAAGCAGAATTGAACAGGGCGATGCCAACTCTCTCTTACAATTATTCATGGAACGCCAAAATGAAGATAGCATGTTTGCATGAGATTTCCAAAGTGATGATGAGGGCAGACTTGCAAGCTTTTTCTGGAGTGATGGGTCTTGCAGACTAGATTATGATTGTTTTGGAGATGTCATCATTTTCGACACTAGCTACCGTTTGAATAAGTATAATTTATGCTGTGCTCCTTTCGTTGGGATTAACCACCATCGGCAAAACGTTCTATTCAGAGTTGATTTTTTATCTGACGAGACGTTAGAATCGTTCAAGTGGTTATTCAAAACCTTCATTCGTATAATGGATGATAAACATCCAATTACAATATTTACAGATCAGGATCAAACGATGACAAGAGTTATTGCAGATTGTCTTCCATTCACAAGACATAGATTATGCCAATGACATATCTATAAGAAATTCTCGTCGAAAGTTCATTACGGTGTGACGTACAAGAGCGTTAACAATCTATTTTATAAATGCATGAGCAAGTTTGATTCAGAAGATGAGTTCGAAGTTACTTGGGCTCTAATGATCGAGCAAGAAAATCTGCACAACAACATGTGGCTAGATGCATTGTACCGTATAAGAATAACCTAAGAATAACCTGAGAATGCCCCGAGAATAACCTAAGAATACCCCGAGAATAACCTCAAATACCCTGATAATAACCTAACAAGATAATAATACATCAACAATATCCTAGGAATAACCTAACAAAATAACAATACATCAAACAGATAATACATTTAAACAGATATATACAAAAACAATAATATATCAAACAGCTTGTTCCTGTGAGATAAACCTACACAAAATAACAATATATCTGTTTGATAATACATTTATTCTCAGGTTTTCTCCAAATAAACATATAATACATTTATTCTACACATAAACCCAATATATCAAACAGATAATGCATTGATTCTCCAAATAATTTATATCTGCATATTTCATATACTATCTCTGCCCTAAACCGAGGCATCTCAGCTTGCCAGTCCTGAAAATCTTTACAGTTAATCTTGTCTTTCTGTACAAGTGTCTCCATATATTTACAAACAAATATACCGCAGTCGACGCTATTAGTTTGTGTGGGTATTCCTCTAGCCGTGCTAACATTCCATTTACTCGGGTCACTGCGGAAAGCATTCCCGACGTCCTTATGAAGATGCCTTATTTGGTAATACAAATGGTTGTTAAAAATAGTGAAATAATAAATATGAATGTAACGGTTGTCAGTTAAATGAGGCTTAAAATTTTACCACGTTACGTGTGACTCTCAAATGCATTTTATTAGGCAATGAGTCGTAGAATCTCCACTTGCGGTTCTTCTGGTTCCCAACAAGTAGAGTCCAATGCCTATTATAAACAATTGGAATTAAAATTGCCTCTGCATGAGCTACAGCTTCCACTGTGACGTGGGCAACAATATCTCGTAGAGGATGGTCTCTAAACCCCTGCATATACATAATAAATGAGTTTAAATAAAGCATGAACCTGTTGCATATACAAACTTAATGAGAATTTTATTACTTACCCAATGCGCCGGAGAGACGTACAAATAAGGTCTAAAAGAATCAGGGGACTGACACCGACGGTTTTCTAATCCAATGACAAACACATCTACATGATCCACGTCGATTTCTTTATTATCCCCAAAGTGCTTTCAGGTCAATTCGACTAATATGAATGTGACCCTGAGCAATTATTAAGTCATCCCTGCAAATTGATTGAACAATATTTATTAGATTTAATTAACAATTGACAGAAAAAATGTTCTGTTCTGTACATACCTTTCTTTGTACATTCTTAAACAGCTATCGATCACCTGTTGCATGTGTGATGGTCGTAGTTCTCTGCCGGGGATCTCTATGGCTGAAGAAGGGAGGATACTTTCATATGGAACAATTACGCCCGGCTGTACCTTCTCCCAAGCTTCTCCTGCCTCCTTTTCCCTAGCTTCATCGAGCCCTGGAGATGGTATGGTAATCGGCGTGGAAGACTCATAAATATGCTGTACTAAATCATTTATATTTGAGGACGGAACTTCTACCAGCTTCTTTCTCTTTACAGCTTCTAATGGAGAACTAACCACCCTCTTTTTTCTCGGTCCTCTGGACTTGATCCTTCGGACTAAGCTACCAATTAGGTCTTTAGGGATG